GGAACCAGTAAGACTGAGATCCCTAGTCACCTGTCCCCCAAAAAACTGGATTGTATCGAACTGTGACATTCGGAGAGCCGGTAAGCTCAAAATATTTTAGGATATGTACATCTAAACGATTTACTATGTTTATAAAATATTTTATTTGACCCATACATGACTTTTAGGGGTACTCCATTAAGGTACTCCATAGGGTACTCCATGGAGTAGGGCTCCGCGTTTTGTCATCTCCCGATGCAACTACACAACAACTTCGCTGTAAAGAGCCACGCCACATTCTATGGGGGCTTCAGTTGAAATTTCTGGGATTGACGAGGCAGGGGTGGGTAATTCGAGTCGAGCCCTCATTTTATTTAATTTTGGACCAGAACGATCAAGATATATCTTTCTTAATCCTGTATGATCTTCTTCTTTAGTTAAGTTAATAGCCAATCTCTTTTTCTCTAAGACGCACTCTGGATCACTGTTTTCGTCACAGTTATCTCACCCCACTGCCCCTCAGTAGAACATTTTGCACACCTCTAACAGCCCTCCAACCTCCGTCCAGCCTGAGGACCACCGCTCTTCTCAGTGACATAGGTCGGACATTAGTATGTCCTCCCAAAAAAGAAGACAAACTTCTAGTTCTTTATTTAAAACTAATAACTGTTGTTGGCCTTTTTGTCTTTCCAGGTTTTTTCATTAGGCACTGAGTTCTTTATCATTTATTCACTTTTAATTTTTTTTCCTTGCGCAGCATTAGATGTATTTCCCGTGCTTGGCAACAATGCAAGACATTTTCCTCAATCCCCTGTTAGTAAAGAGTTTTCCGGCACTTGGTGCGGATTTCATCTCGTATCCTATCAACATGATACTTTAATGAAAGTATTGTTTTCACAGCCTTTATCACTAGCACGCTGAGCAGAACTGTGAAGGACAAGTGGTCCTGTTTATGATGAAAGCGATAATATAAGTAACGTCCTGTTGGACAATTGCTATACTAGTCACCTCCTTAGCATTTGTAAATTACGCCCGGAAAAGAGTGATAAATTTGGGTTAAATTGGTCGCGTGATGAAGATTAGGGAACTTTCTGATCTTAGATAAAGCTGTTTTCAGTGCCTTTGATCCACCCGCCCCACTCTAGTGTACATCTGTTTCTACTGAACTTTTTCTCGCAAATGATTACAGTAATTCCAAAGTATATAATTAATGAGGTTGTGGATATCGTTTGCCATGGGATTTGAAAGCTTCCTGATGATCAAGTCAATTTCATGGAGCAACCCATTCAATTTGTTGGGTAATGAAGATCGGGGAACTTTCTGATCTTAGATAAAGCTGTTTTTCAGTGCCTTTCATCCACCTGTCCCACTCTAGTGTACACGAGTTTCCACTAAACTTTTTCTCACAAGTGAATTACAGTAATTCCAAAGTAGATAATTAATGAGGATGCGGATGCCGTTTGGCATGGGAGTTGAAAGCTCACCAGGTTGATCATCAAGTCAATTTCATGGAGCAACTCGTAAAATTTCTTGTTATTTCTGTGTGATTTGATCGACTTCCACTTTCTTGTTTATGTGCTTCCACGTGAAAATTTGTCCTAAGAAAAACAAAAATAATCTCATGA